AAACCAGTTTCGGCCATGCACCAGCCTTTTAAGAGGGGCTGCCTGGGGCTCTGTGCCACTCAGGCACAATCCTTACTGGTTTTTACAGTCAGTTATAGGAACTTCTCTTCCCAACTCTCGAACCCTGGGCTCGGGCTCTGGTGTGGGGCTGGGTCCTCTTGCTCCTCACAGATGGCCTTCTCAGAGATAATCTCCCTCCCTATTAGAACAGCAGCACAGGTGGTTATCGAAGCGGACGGTTCCACACCTCTGCCCTCCCATCACACTCAGTGTGCTTTCCTCTTCACTTCTCATGCTGTAGGACTTCCAATCGGCCAAAGTTCAGGCAGTTCTGAATGGCAGTTCTTCTGTATTTTAGTTGTAATTTTGATGTGGTTGTGGGAGACTGTGAGTACAGGCATTTACCTATGCCACCATCTTGGTTCTCTGAACATATCGCAAAGTTGTTTTTTTTAATAAATATATTTTATTGATTTTTTTACAGGGAGGGAGAGGGATAGAGAGCTAGAAATATCAATGAGAGTCAATTAAGTAAAAGCCCTCGACCGGAATCAAACCTGGGATCTTTCAGTCCACAGGCCGACGCTGTATCCACTGAGACAAACTGGTAAGAGCTTTTTTTCTTAATAAAATAAACATCTTTGAAGGATGGAAGAAGGGGATAAAGGTTTGATAAATGGTAATGGAAGGACACTTGATTTGGAGTAGTGAACACTGAATACAATATACAGATGATATGCTATAGAACTGTACACTTTAAAGCTACCGTATTTTCCAGCATATAAGACGACCCCCCTAATTTTACAGTTAAAACATAGGTTTAGGACTATATTCGCTGTATAATTCTACCCACGACTTCAAAGAAAAGACTTACGTTGCCGTCAAGATCTGCAGGTAATTCTTGTGCAATTTTGGTCTTTTGCCCCTGATATTCGGTTGACTTTTTTTCATTTCAAAAGTAGTCTTATATGCCGGAAAATACGGTATATAATTTTATTAACCAATGTAACCCCAATAAATTCAATGAAAAAAAGAAAAAGGGAGAGGAAAACCAAGATGGCTGCATAGGTAAACACCTAATTGCAGCCTCACACAACAATTTCAAAAAATACAACTAAAATATAAAGTGGACATTATCCAGAACTACAGGAAAGTTGACTGACTGGAAATTCTACAACTAGAAGGAAAGAGAAAACCAGAAGGAAAATCAGAGGAGCTCAAAAAGCCTAAGATACGGAGACACGATGCACACGTGGGGAGAGGATGGAGCCGGAGAGGAGGGGCCGCAGAGTGCCTGGTTTGCGTTCCCTAGCGGGAAGGAGATAAAAGCTCCGGACTGTGCTGAATCCCAGTTCCGACTGCACTGAACCCCAGTTCTAGGCCAGACCCTGGGAACCCAGGCTCAAACAGAGGGATTCTGGGCTGTAAGGCGGAAACTCGGGGGAGCGGCGAAAGGCAGAGCCCCAGAGCCACGCACATTGCGCACAGAGGACTAACTGTTGATTGAGCCGCTGGACTGCCCTAGAGGGAAGGAGACAAAAGCTCCGGACTACACTGAACCCCACTTCCAACTGCACTGAACCCCAGTTTGGGCTCATTGGGGGAGAGACTAGACTGTCTGGTAGTGGGCAAAACTCGAGGACACCTTTCTGTCAGAGGTGTTTGCAGCGAGTACCAAAGGACACTGAGGAACACTGAGATACAGGAACCTCATACAGCGGGGCTGACAGGAAGCCAAGGCTGTAAGCTCCACCCTGAACTCCATCCCATGCAAGCTGAGCACAGAGGCTTTTGAATGAGGCTGTCTCTGGCATAGACACAGCTGATCCTCACAGCCAATTGGTCTGGAGGTCAGTTCCTCCCAGTGATACCAACAACAATTAGACTTAACTACAGCCGAGACCAGTTTGGCTCAGCGGATAGAGCGTCTACCTGCAGACTGAAAGGTCCCAGGTTCGATTCCGGTCAAGGGCATGTACCTTGGTTGTGGGCACATCCCTAGTGGGGGTGGTGCAAGAGGCGGCTGATCAATGACTCTCTCTCATCGATATTTCTAACTCTCTATCCCTCTCCCTTCCTCTCTGTAAAAAATCAATAAATTTATTGGGGGGAAAAAAAGACAACCACAAAAGGCTGTACACACAGTCCACAAAGGGGTGCACCAAGAGTGTCCACCTCAGATAACTGGGAGGCTGACCCAATGAACCATATAGGACACCTTAACACACAAAGCCATCTTACCAACTCACGGAAGCAGTAAAAATGCCGAGACAAGGAAACAGATCACAAATGAAAGAAATAGAGGACAAAAAGAGACTGGATATAGAGTTCAAAACCACACTTATAAGGTTTTTCAAGAAATAAACAAGACCTATGAGGATATGAAAAGGGATCAACTAGAAATAAAGAATACATTGTCTGAAATAAAAAATATTATAGAGTCCTAAAAACAGTATGGAAGATCACAAGAATCAAGTAAAAGACTTGGAAGACAAAGAACCAGAGGACACTCCTCCGCAGAAGACAAGAGAATCCAGAAAGTTGAAGATAGTGTAAGAAACCTCTGGGACAACTTCAAGCGAACCAACATCAGAATTATGGGGGTTCCAGAAAAAGAGAGAGAAACATATTAAAAGAAATGACAAAAAACTTCCCCCTCCTGGGGAAAGAAATAGACTTCTAAATCCAGGAAGTGCACAGAACCCCAAACAAAAGGAATCCAAAGAGGGCCACACCAAGACACATCATAATTAAAATTACAAGAGCAAAAGACAAAGAGAGAATATTAAAAGCAGCAAGAGAAAAGCAGGTAGTTACCTATAAAGGAGCACCCATAGGATTGTCAGCTGATTTCTCAACAGAAACCATGCAGGGCAGATGGGAATGGCAAGAAATATTCAAGGTGATGAACAGCAAGAACCTACAGCCAAAAATACTCTACCCAGCAAAGCTATCACTCAGAATTGAAGGCCAGATAAAGAGCTTCACAAATAAAAAGAAGCTAAAAGAGTTCATGACTGCCAAACCAGAATTATATGAATTGCTGAAGGGGGTTCTTTAGGAAGAGGAAAAAAATAAAGATAAAAATTATGAACAAATATGTAACTATCAACAAGTGAATCTAAAAACCAAGGAAATTAAAAAAAACCTGATGAGCCGAAACTGGTTTGGCTCAGTGGTAGTGCGTCGGTCTTCGGACTGAAAGGTCGCAGGTTCAATTCCGATCAAGGGCATGTACATTGGTTGCGGGCACATCCCCGGTAGGGGGTGTGCAAGAGGCAGCTGGTCGATGTTTCTCTCTCATCGATGTTTCTAGCTCTCTATCTCTCTCCCTTCCTCTCTGTAAAAAATCAATAAAATATATTTAAAATAAAATAAATAAAAAAACCTGATGAACAATATTAACTGTTGAATATAATAGGATCAGAGGCATGGAAGGGGAGTGGACTGATGATTCTCGGGGAAAAGAGGAGTGGGGGGTGCGGGAAGAGACTGAACATAAACTGTGCACCTATGGATGAGGACAATGGGGGCTGGGGAAAGGGAAGAGGGTGGGGTGGGAACCTGATGGAGGGTGAAAAAAATAAGGAACTTTTGTAACAATATGAACAATAAAGATTAAAAAAAAAGAAAAACGAAAAACGAATCATCACCCTTTGCCTGTCTTCTCTGTTCCAAATTTTTGCTTTTAGTAATGTTAGTTTTTATTTTTATTTATTTTTTTTAAAATATATTTTATTGATTTTTTACAGAGAGGAAGAAAGAGGGATAGAGAGTTATTATAGAAACATCGATGAGAGAGATTCATCGACCAGCTGCCTCTTGCACATCCCCCACTGGGGATGTGCCCCCAACTGAGGTGGTACATGCCTTGACTGGAATCGAACCCGGGACCTTTCAGACCACAGGCCGATGCTCTATCCACTGAGCCAAACCAGTTTAGGCTAGTGATTTTAGTTTTTAAATTTACATAATCATGTCTTTTTTGTTTTTTACCCTCTGCCATCACTAAATTGAGAAAGCATTATCAAATACCTCACAATTTCAGTTCCCTCTGAACATGAACTGTTAAGTTCTCTATAAATAAAAATATATTTGGGACATGCATGACCCCAGCCCATTATTAATATCGCTCAAGAGATACTCTGAATTAAAAGGACACCAGTCCCTGTTCCTGACCCACCTTTAATAGAATTACAGATATGAACATTGGAAGCTTTAAAAGATGACGCATTTTGGGGTTTTGTTTTGTTAGTTTGATTTTGTTTACCCTCACCTGACAATAGTTTTTCCACTGATTTAAAAAAATATATATATATTTTATTGATTTTTCACAGAGGAAGAGAGAGGGATAGAGAGTAGGAAACATCGATGAGAGAGAATCATCGATCAGCTGCCTCTTGCACACCCCCTACTGGGGATGTGCCCGCAACCAAGGTACATGCCCTTGCCTGAAATCGAACCCGGGACCTTTCAGTCTGCAGGCCGACGCTCTATTCACTGAGCCAAACCGGTGCCGGCTCCACTGATTTTTTAATTTTTATTTTTTTAACGAGAGTTGGAGAAAGATCCAGTAAGAGGGACACATTGATGACTAGTTGCCTCCTGCACACTTTCTTCCAGGGCTAAAGACTGAACCTACAAGGGAGGCATTATGTGCCCTTGTCTAGGAAATGATCCTGGGACCTTTGCTGTGCGGGCTGTCAAGCTAACCACTGCCTAATGCAAGCCAGGGTTTATAATTTTGTTTTTTAAATTCAACATACAGCCAGGACTGGTTTGGCTCAGTGGATAGAGTGTCGGCCTGGAGACTGAAAGGTCCCAGGTTCGATTCCGGTCAAGGGCATGTACCTTGGTTGCGGGCACATCCCCAGTAGAGGATGTGCAAGAGGCAGCTGATCGATGATTCTCTCTCATTGATGTTTCTAACTCTCTGTCCCCCTCTCTTCCTCTCTGTGAAAAATCAATAAAAGTTAAAAAAAAAGAAAAAAAAAAGAAAGTAAATTCAACATACAAGTTATCAGCGTACTGAAAAGGCAAAATTAGGAAAGAGGTTCTTCCAAAAGATGTTAATCACTTTTTCACTATTTCCAGATGTTTCCTTCAAATAGCTTTCAATAAGGGGGGAGAAAAGGGGGTAATGGGGGAATAAGGACACATATGTAACACCTTAATCAATAAAGAAATTTATTTAAAAAAAAAAAAAAGCCAAAACCGGTTTGGTTCAATGTATAGAGCATCGGTCAGCAGACTGAAAGGTCCCGGGTTCGATTCCAGTCAAGGGCACACACCTTGGTTGCAGGTAGATCCCCAGTGGGGGGTGTGCAAGAGGCAGCTGGTTGATGTTTCTTTCTCATCGATGTTTCTAACTCTCGATCCCTCTCAATTCCTCTCTGTGTAAAATCAATAAAATATATATTAAAACACACACACACACACACACACACAAAAAAAAACAAATAGCTTTCAAAATTTTTTGACATTAGTAAAGAGGTAGACTTTAAAAATTTTTTAAAATAAATCTTTATTGTTCAGATTACAGTTGTTCCTTTTGATCCCCATAGATACCCTCCTCCTGTTCCCATCTCACCCTCTTCCCTTTCTTCCCCCCATACTGTACTCATCCACAGATGTACAATTTGTCGTCTCATCCCACACCCCCCCCACTCCTTTCCCCCTGAGTTGTCAGTCCCTTTCTATGCCCGATTCTATTATATTCACCAGTTTATTCTGTTCCTTAGATTAATAATTCACTCGATTTTTAGATTCACTTATTGATAGATACGTATATGTTGATCATAATTTTTTATATTTACCTTTTTCTTCTTCCTCCTCTTCTTAAGAATACCTTTCAGCATCTCATTTAATACTGGTTTGGTGGTGGTGAACTCCTTTAGCTTTTTCTTATCTGTGAAGCTCTTTAGCTGACCTTCAATTCTGAATGTCAGCTTGGCTGGATAGAGTACTATTGGTTGTAGGTTCTTGCTGTTCCTCACTTTGAATATTTTTTGCCACTTCCATCTGGCCTGCATAGTTTCTGCTGAGAAATCAGCTGACAATCATGTAAGAGTTCTCTTGTAGTTGTTTTTCTCTCGCTCCTTTTAATATTCTTTGTCTTTTGCTCTTGGCATTTTATTTACTTATTTATTTTTAAAATAAATCCACTTTTCTTTTTAAAATATATTTTATTGATTTTTTTACAGAGAGGGAGAGAGGGATAGAGAGCCAGAAACATCGATGAGAGAATCATCGATCAGCCACTTCCTGCACAACCCCCACGGGGGATGTGCCCACAACCAATGTACATGCCCTTGACTGGAATCAAACCTGGGACCTTTCAGTCCGCAGACGGACACTCTACCACTGAGCCAAAAACGGTTTTGGCTGCTCTTGGCATTTTAATTATGATGTGTCTTGGTGTGGTTCTTTTTTGGATTCCTTTTGTTTGGGGTTTTGTGTTCCTCTTAGATTTGTAAGTCTATTTCTTTCACCAGGTGGGGGAAGTTTTCAGCCATTATTTCTTCAAATAGGTTTTCAGTATCTTGTTCTTTTTTTCTGGCACCCCCATAATTCGGATGTTGGTATGGTTCAAGTTGTCGCAGAGGCTTCTTACACTATCTTCAAATTTTTGGATTTTTTTCTTTTTGCTTTTCGGGCTAAGTGATTTTTGCATCTTTCTATTACAAATCTTTGACTTGATTCTTGCATTCCTCTAGTTTGCTTTTGGGTGCTAGATAATATTTTTTTTATTTCAGTTTATGTTCTAGTTGGTCCTTTTCCATATCCACAAGGGTCTTGCTAAATTTATCAGCCTTTTCTAGAAATTCTGAAAAACCTTATAACCATGGTTTTGAACTCTATCTCAGTTGTTTTGTTTTCCTCCATTTCGTTTGTGATGTTTTTTTTTGTCTCCGCATTTTCACCGCTTCCCTGAGTTGGTAGGGTGGCTTTGTGTGCTGGTGTCCTATATGTCCCGGTGGGTCAGCCTCCCGTTACCTGAGGTGGACACTCTTGGTGCACTCCCCCCCCCCCTTTTTTTCTCCGTGTGTGTATGTTTTAATTAATTGTTTGCAGAATGCCCAACAGAGAGGAGGTTTTTTTGGGAGAAGTCAGCTGTGTGGAAACTCGGAAGGCAGCATGATTTTCCTTTAAATAAAAGCTACACATGGGAACCAGTGGGGTTTTGGAGGACCCCCTGCCCCCCGTATCAGGGTGAGGGGGGGCGTCAGTGCTCGTGATCGGAGAGGGTCTCGTCTTAGGTCCACACCCAGGGTTGCCAAGATCCAGCTGGGGGGACGGGAGGGTGTCTGGTCGGCTGGGGGGCTTTGGGGCCCATTTTGGGGGTACAGCATGGGAATGGGGGGTATCAGTGGTCGTGATCAGAGAAGGTCTCATCCTAGGTCACCGCCAGGGGCTGCCATGATCCGGCCGGGGGGAAGGGGGTGTCTGGTCAGATCGGGGGTGAGGGGGGGGTGGGAGACCCGTGGCAAGTTTGCGGGTACAGGGTGGGAACTAGGGGCATCTGGTTGTGATCGGAGAGGGTCTCGTCCTAGGTCCCCGCCTGGGACTGCCATGATTGGGCCAGAGGGACGGGGGGTGTCTGGTCAGATCGGGGCCTAGTTTGGGGGTACAGGGCGGGAACAGGGGTGTTAGTGGTCATGATCAGAGAGGGCCTCATCCTAGGCCCCACCTGGGGCTGCCATGATTGGGCCAGTGGGACGGGGGGTGTCTGGTCAGCTGGGGAGGCCCCCAGACCCCAAAGCCCGGTTTGGGGGTACAGAGGGGGATTGGGGGTGTCAGTGGTCGTGATCGGAGAGGGTCTCGTCAGACTCCTTCCCAGCACTGATGTGATCCGGCCGGGGGGATGGGGGAGTCTGGTCGGCTGGGGGATTCGGGGGGCCCTGGGGCCGGCGTGGGGGCAGCGTGGGAACGGGGGCCTAGAGGACCTTCTTGAACTCGTCGCAGAGCACCAGCACGAAGGTGCCGCCCATGCCCCACAGCAAGCTGGACTGGCCCCCTTGGAGAAGGCTCGCCGCCCTCGTCCCGGACGAGGAAGACCTTGCGCCCGCAGTCGATGGTGCCCGTGTAATAATGTCGGCTCCTTTGCGCCCTGACTGCACCACCATCCGCCGCCTCACGGTGTCGAAGGGTAGACCATGCCGGCCACGCCGGCCCCCGCTGGGCGGCCCCCCGGCCGATGGAGACGGGGCGCTCTTGGGTCCGGGAGCATGCCTTTGCCGTGTGGTGCGCGCCGAAGCAGGCGGCGCGGTGGGTGACGATGCCCTGCTCGGCCGGTGAAGCCCGGTACAGGCCCCGGACGCCGCCCGAGCGGGTCACCGGCACCAGACGGTCCCCGAGGACCTTGAACTGCCCTCGCACGTCCGTGGCGAGGCGTGTGCGGGCGAAGTCCAGCGGGCACAGGAAGCAGAGGGATGTGGCGCCCGCCGCCCCCCCAGGCCAGGTTACGGCGAAGTAGCGCCAGAACTGCGTGTGCTTGTCCACGCCGCCTGGGAACACCTGCCTGTACTTGTCCTTGAGGGCAAAGTGGAGGGCCTGCGTGGGGAAGTAGCGGATCACGTTGGCCAGGCTGCCCCACAGAAGCTCAGCACGCCTGCTCCTTGTGGATGCGCACAATGCCCTTGTCCTGCTTGTCCGCCGTGGTCTGCTGGCTGGCATGCTGCACCTGCAGCAGCAGCTCGACCCTCTCGATTGGGGCCACCATCTCGGAGATGGTGGCGGCGACGCCCCCGGTCAGGAAGTCCTTGGCGAAGGAGATGGTCTGTTCCGTTATGGTTTCGGGGAGTGGAGTGGATTCTCGGGGAGCAGCCGTGTGGGCGCCGCCGGGACCGAAAATCTGTAGTTAAGTCGATTGTTGTTGGTATCACTGGGAGGAGTTGACCGTCAGACCAACTGGCTGTGAGGATCAGCTTTGTTTTTGCCGGGAGACAGCCTTGTTCATCAAATACATACCTACCAACAAGTGAATCTAAAAATCAAGAGAATAAAAAAAAAAAATCTGAAGAACAGAATGGACTGAATATAATAGAATCAGGGACATAGAAAGGGAGTGGACTGACAATTCTCAGGGGAAGGGGGGTCTGCAGGGTGTGGGAAGAGATTGGACAAAAATCTTACACCTATGGATGAAGACAGTGGCAGGGGGTAAGGGCATGGGGTGGGGTGGGGAATCAGGTGGAGGGGAGCTATGGGGTGGGGGGGGGGGGGCAGAGGAAAACCTGTAATAATCCGAGTAAAAGTTTATTATATTTTTTTAAAAAAGTAATTCTGGAGATTTAGGAATAAGCAATTTGGTTTCCTAGTCTGATACCAGTACAATTTGATATGCTACCAAATTCTTGCACTACTTTCTATGAAGCAAGCTGATTTATCACCTATTCCTGTTCATCTACTGAACATAACAACAGCCAACATTTACTGGAATAAAAAATATATCAGATATTAATGGGTTGCTTTTAATATTTCTCATTTGATAATCTCAAAATTTAGTGCACACAAATATTATTTTCCACATTTCACAACTGGTCAGTCTAAAAGAAGTGAAGTTGTCTAAAGATGAACACATTACTTCAATTTTTATAAGTTGAAGAGTTGTCATTTGTTTCATATATATATATATATATATATATATATATATATATATATATATATTTACTTTTAGAGGTAAAGGGAGTCGGAGGGAAAGATAGAAACATCAATCAGCCACCTCCTGCACACGCCCTGTTGAGAACCCACCAGCAAACTCTGGGTGCAGGTGATGACAACCACTCACCCATATCAGTCAGGCTGGCTGTCATTCCTTTTAAACATTAATAAGAATACTGGTGACAAAACCATGTCATTTAAGAATTTATAAAAATAAACACATTTTATTTTTGTCTTAGCAGCTAATATAAAACTATCTTGGCCTTTAAAGCCAACTTTGTTCTTTCCTCAAGCTCCTTTTTTTTAATTAAATATATTTTATTGACTTTTTACAGAGAGGAACGGAGAGGGATAGAGAGTTAAAAACATCAATGAGAAAGAAACATCAATCAGCTGCCTTTGACTGGAATCGAACCTGGGACCTTTCAGTATGCAGGCCGACGCACTATTCATTGAGCCAAACCTGTTAAGGCTCCTCAACCTCTTTTAAAAAAATATTTTTATTGATTTCACAGAGAAGAGAAAGGGAGAGACAGAAACATCTGTGATGAGAGAGACGTGTAGATGTTTCTATGTGCTCTTGACTGGAACTGAACCCGGGACTCTTCAGTCCGCTGGCCAACACTCTACCTACTGAGACAAAACAGCTAGGGCCTCAACCTCTTCTTTGGATCATGAATTCATTTCAAGCCAACAACAAAAAAAAATCCCCAACTATGAAGACACCAGGCATATTTCCCTTCATAAAAATCAAAGCTAAAGTGTTTAGCTCTTAGAAAGGTTTCACTGTAGTGTTTCAGGAAGGGGCAAACTCTGTCCTTCCAGAATACCGCTGCAGCAAACATCTGGGCCAAAACCCAGCAGAGGTTTGGATGGGATGCACATACAAAGGATTTCAAAGCGTGGCCCTAGCCAGTTTGGCTCAGTGGATAAAGCACTGGTCTATGGACCAAAGGGTTCCAGGTTCTATTCCAGTCAAGGGCATGTACCTCAGTTGCAGAATACTCCCTGGTCCAGGCCTTGGTCAGGGCATGTGCAGGAGGCAACCCAATCTAGATGTTTCTCTCATATCAATATTTCTGCCTTTCTGTCTCTCTGAAAATCAGTGGAAAAATATTCTCGGGTGAGGATTAAAAAAACAAAAACAAAGAAAGTGTTGAGACCTTCATGTCTGGCATGAAGAAAAAACATCTTAGTTTAGGAGTGAAAAATTAAGTACATTAGGATCACTTAGTCCAAAACTAAATTCTGCAACAGTGCAAGAAAAAAGGCAAAGTGCTGTCTACCTCAAGTCTACAGGCTCCACTCACTCAGCAGTGATCCTCTGACATAACTGCTTTCCCTCGTGAGCTTCCTCCTGTCTCCGGGTTAAGCACAAAAATGTCAAGGCTCTCTCTGGTAATCAACACCACCATCCTATCTTTAAGAATTTCAAATATTGATACAGGTCTGGCTTAATTATTCCTTGTGCATTTAGATAAGACTGTTGTTTACCATTCCAGCTTTATATGTTTTAAAAACTATAAAGACATTGAAACCAAAACATGAACTACGAGGAATAAAAAATAACACAGGGCCAAACCCTCGATATGAGGTAGACAACAGCATGGTTTATATGTAATCACCCCTCACCCTCTCCAGGGGGAGCTCAGGCAGCCAGCAAGCAGCACAGCAAGGTCTCTCCAAGACTCCCTGGTCGTCATGATCTAACAGCCAAGTCTGAAACAGCAACCCAAACCAAGCCCGAGCAGTGCTGCTGTCCCGTGTCCCGTGCCATCCGGGAGTTTCAGGTCCTGGAGACGTGCCGCGGGGGCTCGCTCGGCAGCACGGTGCTGGAGATTAGTACTGGAAGCTGCGCTTGGTCTGGATGTCATCGAGGATCTGCTGCAGCTCCTCGTCTTCAAATCGCCCCTCCAGGCTGCAAGGACACAGCAGCCATGAGTGTCTCAGCGGCTGACAGCATGCCCACACTCACGTTAACTCGAGCCAGTATTTATCCAAGTTGCCCACCTCTCCATTTATCCCTAAAAACCGACACTTTTACGTTTCCATCTTAATTTCTTGCCATCCTTTTAAGAAACATTTTGAAGTGTTTAAAACATATTAAAGGTATAGGAAATAAGGTAACCTTCATAGTTAGCCTTAATTGATTTAGATTTCTTTAATAAACACAACAGGAAAAAACTGATGACTGCATACTTGTCCATCTCAAAACCTTCCTTTCCTTCCCCAGAAGTGACTACTGTCCTACATTTGGCATTTATCATGCTGATAAATATTTTTGTGCTAACAATATGTACATGTAAAGACACCTATAAGAAATATCAGCACTGCCGGGACCGGTTGGGCTCAATGGATAGAGCGTCGGCTTGGGGACTGAAGGGTCCCGGGTTCGATTCTGGTCAGGGGCATGTACCTTGTTTGCAGGCATATCCCCAGTAGGGGGTGTGCAAGAGGCAGCTGATCGATGACTCTCTCTCGATGTTTCTAACTCTTTATCTCTCTCCCTTCTTCTCTGTACAAAATCAATAAAATATATTTAAAAAAAATATATATATATCAGCACTGTAAACTTTGAAAGAAAAATCATCATACTGCACTTACTGAAACTTTCTGGCTCAAAATTCATTCTGGTATGTGGTGGCATTATTTCATGTTCATTCATTTTTTTTTTTTTTTTTAATTTTTTCCTCCAATAGTGGTAGTATTTTCTTTTCTTTTTTTTTAAATATATTTTTATTGATTTTGTACAGAGAGGAAGGGAGAGAGATAGAGTTAGAAACATCGATGAGAGAGAGTCATCGACCAGCTTCCTCTTGCACACCCCCCACTGGGGATATGCCCACAACCTAGTTCATTCATTTTTTCACTGCTATATAACACACGACGTATAGTCATATGATGATGTATTTGTAGTCTCTTTTTTTTAATTTCTATTATTGAAAGTATTACATATGTCCCTTTTTCCCCACCATTGACCCCTTCTAACCCTCCTCCATCTCCTGCCCCAGGACTAAACCACCCTATTGTCTGTGTCCATGGATTATGCATACATTTTTGGTTGAAAACTTCTCACACACCTTTTCCTCCGTGCCATCTCTCTAAGGTTCCATAGTCTGTTCTATGCTTCTATATCCCGGGATCTATTTTGTTCATCACTTTATTTTGTTTGTTAGATTCCACATGAGTGAGATCATATGGTACTTGTCTTTCTCTGACTGGCTTATTTTGCTTAGTGTAATACTCTCCTGGTCCCTCCATGCTGTCTCAAAATGTAAGAGATTCTTTTTTACTGCTGCATAATACTAGGTATACCAGTTAATAATGCGGATTTTTTTTAATAAATGGAATTACACATATATTCATATATATGCAATTTGATATGTACGCTGTTTTGGTGTATTGACAAGCTTCAAAATTCATATGCCGCCCTAACCAGTCTGGCTCAGTGGATAGAGCATCGGCCTGTGGACTCAAGGGTCCAAGGTTCGATTCCAGTCAAGGGCATGTACCTTGGTTGCAGGCATATACCCAGTAGGAAGTATATAGGAAGCAGCTGATTGATGTTTCTCTTTCACTGATGTTTCTAATGCTCTATCCCTCTTACCTTCCTCTCTGTAAAAAAATCAATAAAATAGGAAGAGAAACCAAGATGGCAGCCAAGGTAAGCAACTAAGCTGCAGCCTCACACAACAATTTCAAAACAACAACTAAAAGAGAACAGACTTCATCCAAAACCACAGGAACGCTGGCTGAATGGGAAATCTACAACAAGAAAGAAGAAGAGAGGCTCACAGATCAGAGGAGCCGCAAAGCGCAGAGAAGGTATCCCAGTGTAGACACAGCTGATACTCACATCCAATTGGCCTGGAGGTCAATTCCTCCCAGTGATACCAACAACAATTAAGACTTGTTGAAACTGGTTTGGCTCAGTGGACAGAGCGTCAGTCTGTGGACTGAAGGGTCCCGGGTTCAATTCCGGTCAAGGGCATGTACATTGGTTGTGGGCACATCCCCAGAAGGGGGTGTGCAGGAGGCAGCTGGTCGAAGATATTCTCTAGCTCTCTCCCTTCCTCTCTCTGAAAAATAATTTTTTAAAAAAGAGAGAGACTTAACTACAATAAGGCTGTATGCACAGTCCACAAAGGGGAGCACCAAGAGTGTCTACCTCAGGTAACTGGGGAGGCTGACTCACCAGGCCTTATAGGACACCAAACACACAAAGCCACCCTATCAACTGAGGGAAGCAGCAAAAATGAGACAGGAAATAGATCTCAAAAGAAAGAAGTGGAGGAGAATAAAAGATTGATTATAGAGTTCAAAACCATAATTATAAGGTTTTTCAAGAATTTCCTAGAAAAGGCCAATAAATTTAACGAGACCCTTGAGGAAATGAAACAGGTCCAACATGAAATTAATCATACACTGACTGAAATAAAAAATATTATACAGCCCTAACCGGTTTGGCTCAGTGGTAGAGCGTTGGTCTGCGGACTGAAAGGTCCCAGGTTTGATTCTAGTTAAGGGCATGTACATCGGTTGCGGGCACATCCCCGGTAGGGGGTGTGCAAGAGGCAGCTGGTCAATGTTTCTCTCTCATCGATGTTTCTAGCTCTCTATCCCTCTCCCTTCCTCTCGGTAAAAAATAAAAAAAATATATTAAAAAAAAATTTATACAGAGACCCAACAGCAGACTAGAGAAACGCAAGAATCAAGTCAAAGATTTGGAATACAAAGAGGCAAAGAACACTCCTCTGGAGAAACAAGAAGAGAAGAGAACCCAGAAAGTTGAAGATAGTGTCAGGAGCCTCTGGGACAACTTCAATTGTACCAACATCAGACTTATGGGGGTGCCAGAGGAAGAGAGATTGCAAGATACTGAAAACCTATTTGAAGAAATAATGACTGAAAACTTTCCCACCTGGTGAAAGAAATAGACTTTCAAGTCCAGGAAGCGCACAGAATCCCAAACAACAGGAATCCAAAGAGGAACACACCAAGACACATCATAATTAAAATGTCAAGGGCAAAAGACAAAGAGAATCTTGAAAGCAGCAAGAGAAAAGCAGTTAGTTACCTATAAGGGAGCACCCATAAGATTGTCAGCTGATTTCTCAACAGAAACTATGCAGGCCAGATGGGATTGGCAAGAAATATTCAAAGTGAGGAATAGCAAGAACCTACAACCAAGATTACTCAGCAAAGTTATCATTCAGAATTGAAGGTCAGCTAAAGAGATTCACAGATAAGAAAAAGCTAAGGAGTTCATCAACATCAAAACAGTATTATATGAAATGCTGAAAGGTATTTTATAAGAAGAGGAAGAAAAAGAAAAAAGATAAAAATTATGATCAACAAATACATATATATCAACAAGTGAATCTAAAAGTCAAGTGAATTAAAAATCTAAGGAACAAAATAAACTGGTGAATATAATAGAATCAGGGGCAAAGAAAGGGAGTGGATTGATAATTATCAGGGAGAAAGGGGTGTGGGGGTGCAGGAAGAGACTGGATTAAAATCGTACACCTATGGATGAGGACACAATGGCAGGGGGGAGGTAAGGGCAGAAGGTGGGGTAGAAACCAGGTGGAAGGGAGCTATGGGGGGGGAAAGGAGAAACAATTGTAATAACCTAAGCAATAAAGACTTATTAAATTTTAAAAAATCAATAAAATATATTAAAATGTACATAATAAAAAAACTTCATATGTCAAATTTTCTGAAGGTGTCAACATCACAGATATTTTTATGCTTAAAAATTTCATGCCAAAAAAAAAAAAAAAAGGAGCGTTTGCAGAAAGTTTTAATTCATTACTTTATTTTGAAAGAAAGTGCTGCTGAAAGTTATCATATACTTCGAAAAGCTTATGGTGAACATGCTCCATCTCAAGAAACTTTAAAAGTAATGATTTTGGCAGAAACCGGTTTGGCTCAGTGGTAGAGCGTCGGTCTGCGGTCTGAAAGGTCCCGGGTTCGATTCCGGTCAAGGGCATGTACCTTGGTTGCGGGCACATCCCCAGTAGGGGGTGTGCAAGAGGCAGCTGATCAATGATTCTCTCTCATCGATGTTTCTAACTCTCTGTTCCTCTTTTTAACAATTTGTCCCGCGGAGTTTTAAAAAAGTCCCGATTTTTTGAAAGATTCTTTTAAATCTTTTGGACTTTTTAAAAACGCCATGGGACATGGGACAAATTGTTAACAATTGAGACTGTCCCGCCAAAAGCAGGCCATCTGGTCACCTTATTGTATGCTCTTGCCTCCTTTGTCACATATTGAGCATAATGGTGTGGGTCAACTTCTGGGGTCTCTGTTGCATTCTAACGATCTACATGCCTATTCTTGTGCCAGCACCAGGTTGTTTTGATCACTGATGGCTTTGTACTATAACTTGACATCTGGCATTGTGATCCCTCCAGCATTGTTCTTTCTCAAGATTGTTGGGGATGCCCCGGTCTGTTTAGTTCAGTGGTCAGAGCATCAGCCTGTGGACCAAAGGTTCCCCCGTTTGATTCCGGTCAAGGGCATGTACCTTGGTTGCTGGCTTCTACCGGGCCAGAACCCTAGTAAGGGCTCATGCAGAGACAACCAGCTGATATGTTTCTCTCACATCACTATTTCTGTCTTCCCTCTCTAAAAATCAATGGAGAAATATCGGGGGCGGGGGGGGGCGCAGGGGGAAGAGGTAGGGAGAGTTTAAAAATAAATAAATTTCCCTAACTGGTTTGGCTCAGTGATAGAGTATTGGCCTGGGGACTGAAAAATTCCAGATTCAATTCCCATCAAGGCATATACCTTGGTTGTAGGCACATTCCCAGTAGGGAGTGTATATGAGGCAGTTGATCGATGTTTCTCTCTCATCAGTGTTTCTAACTCTCTATCCCTCTCTTTCTCTCTGTAAAAAAATCAATCAAATATATTTAATAATAAATAAATTTAAAAAAGATTGCTGAGATACTCAGAATTATTTTTGGTTCCATATAAATTTTTGGAGTATTTGTCCTAGATCTGTGAAATATGGTATTTGTAATTTAATTGGGATTATATTGAATCTGTAGATTGCTTTGTGTAATATGGCCATTTTAATGATGTTAATTCTACCAATCCAAGAAGATGGTATATCATGGTATATTCTTCCATTTGATATCTTCATCTTTTTTTCCAATGTCCTGTAGTTTTGAGTACAACTATTTTATCATCTCCTTAATTTTTTCCTAAGTATGCTAATTTATTTGTTGCAATAGTAAATGGGCTGTTTGTTTACATTCTCTTTCTGAGGATTCATTATTATTGTATAAAAATGCCATTGATTTGTGGTGGTTGATTTTTCACCTGTTACATTGGTGAAACGATTTATTAAATCTAGTAGTTTCTCGATGGAGTCTTTAGGGTTATGTACAATATCATGCCATTGGCAAATGACAGTTTTAGTTCCTCCTGTCCAGTTTGGAGGCATTTATTTCTTCTTGTCTGATCACTGTGGTTAGGGTTTCCAGTACTATGTTGAATAGGAGTGGTGAAAACAGACATCCCGGTCTTGTTCCTGTTCTTAGGGTAAATGCATTTAGTTTCTGCCCATAGAGCAGTGTTTCCCAAACTTTTGACATGTGTACCCCTTCTATAATTTTCGTAACGCTGAGTACCCCTCGTACTCATGAGAATGTAGAATTAGGTGCAGCTAAGCATGGTGCAGTGTATATCCCCAACAAACTCCGGTGCAACGCGTACCCCCACCAAACTCTTCCTGTACCCCTGGGGGTACACGTACCACACTTTGGGAAACACTGCCATAGAGTATAACATTCACAGTATGTTTGTCATATATGGCCTTTATCATGTTGAGATATGCACCCTCAATTCATATTTTGGAAAAAATGGCTGTTGGATTTTATTGAATACTTTTTCTGCATCTATTTATATAATCGTAAGGTTTTTGCCTTTCAATTTATGTGATATATCACATTTATTGTGAATATTGTTACCAAACTTGCTTCCTGGAATAAATCCAACTTGGTCATGGTGTATGATCATTATAATATATTGCTGGATCCTATTTGCTAATATTTTGTTGAGGATTTTAGCATTTATGTTCATGAAGGATATTGACTTGTAAATCTCTTTGTAGTCTATAACTGGTTTTGGAATTAGGTTAATGCTGGTCACATAAGAAGTACTTAGAAGTGTTCCTTCCTCCTTGATTTTTTTGAATAGTTTCAGTATAGATGTTAGTTCTTCTTTGAATGTTTGTTTAAACTCCCCTGGGAGCCGAAACCGGTTTGGCTCAGTGGATAGAGCATCAATCTGCGGACTGAAAGGTCCCAGGTTCGATTGTGGTCAAGGGCATGTACATTGGTTGTGGGCACATCCCCAGCAGGGGGTGTGCAAGAGGCAGCTGGTCAATGTTTCTCTCATGGATGTTTCTAGCTCTCTATCCCTCTCCCTTCCTCTCTGTAAAAAAAAAAAAAAAAAAAAAAAAAAAAAAAAAAAAAAAAAAAAATCAATAAAATATATACATATTAAAAACAAACAAAAAATCTCCCCTGGGAAGCCATCACTTCTGATTTTTTTTGTGGTCCTCTTTGTTTTTTGATGAAACCAGCTCTTGGTTTCATGTTTTTAAAAAGTCTCCATGTTATTTATTTCTCTTCTAATATTTATATTTATTATTTTTTTTAATGTCCTTCTTTCTTATTTTGTCTTGTTCTCTTTCTAATAGTTTACATTGCAGGGTTACATAGTTTATTAATAATTATTCTTGTTTTCTTGAGATAGGCCTGTAGTGCTATGAACTTCCCTCTCAGAGCTGCTTTTTCCGTGTCCCAGAGATTTTGAGTTGTTGTGTATTCATTTTAATTTGTTTCCAGGAAGTTTTGTATTTCATTGGTAACCTATTCATTGCTTATTAACATGCTATTTAACCTCCATGTGTTTGAATGTTGTTTTTACTGTAGTTTACTTTTAATTTAATTCCATTGTGGTCTGAGGAGATGCTTGATATGATTTCAGTCTTCTTAAACTTGCAGTGGCCCGTTTTGTGTCCTAACATGTAGTCTATCTTTGTGAATGACCCATGTGCTTGAGAAGAATGTATATTCTGTAGCTTTGAGATGAAATGTTCTATAAATGTCAATTAAATCTAACTGATTCAGTGTGTCCTTTAAAATCACTGTTTCCTTGTTAATTTTTTGTAAGATCTATTCAGTGAAATCAGTGGACTGACTGTATTGTTGACAATCTTTCCCTTAAGGTCCTCCAGAAGTTTTTTTAGATATTGTGTGTTCCTATATTGGGTGCATATATGTTTACTAGAGTTATATCTTCCTGTTGGATTAATCACTTTAGTATTTAGTACTACGTAATGATCTTTGTTGTCTCTTGTGATGGCCTTCATTTTGAAGTCTATTTTGTCAGGTATGAGTACTGCTACCCCAACTTTTTTTCATTTCTATTTGCATGGAAAATTTTTTCCATCCCTTTACTCTCATGTTGTGTGAGTTCTTTGTTTTGAGTTGAGTCTCTTTTAGACATCATATAGTTGTGTCATGTTTTCTTATCCATCCAACTTCCCTATGTCTTTTGACTGAGTATTTAATCCATTTATATTTAAGATTAGATGCCCGTTGGAGGAAGATTCCTGCAATAGGGCTTCCTGCTGCAGTTGCTGCACCGCCTGCTTCCCTTCCTTCTCCCCACCCTGCCTGCTTCCCTTCCTTCTCCCCAGCCCCACGTGCTTGCTTCTCCACAGTGCTTGGCTTCTTTCTGCGAGTCTTCAGTCTTCACTCTGGCCTGGACATGCAAATTAACTTCCATCTTGGTTGGGTTAATTTGCATACTCGCCTGATTGGCTTGTGGGCGTAGTGAAGGTGCGGTCAATTTGAATGTTTTTCTTTTATTAGGTAGGATTATCATCAACTTGAGGCTTAGTGCAGGAAGTTTATGCATGGGTCAGATCCTTAATGGCTGCTGGCAGGGCCTCCCTTCTCCTAGCTGCCTGCCACCATTGCTGGCCGAGTGGGCCAGCCAGGGGAGGAGCCATGGGCAGTTGGCTGGATGGTCCCACCCCCTGGTCGAATGAATAAATTGCATATTAGGTTTTTATTATATAGGCTAGGTACTCATTTATTGCAATTTTACTTCTATGTGCCTATGTCTTTCTATTTATTCTTATTATTATAGCAGTACCGTTATGATTTCTTATAGTGCCGATTTGATGGTGACAAATTCCTTTAGCTTTTATTGCCAAGGAAGATCTTTATTTCACCATCTATTTCGAATGATAGGGTTGCTGGATATAGTAATTTTGATTTCAGATCCTTGCTTTTTATTACTTTGAGTATTTCATGACATTCCCTTCTGGACTGTAGAGTTTCTGATGAGAAATCAGCTAACACCCTTGTGGGAGCTCCTTTGTAAGTAACAAATTGCTTTTCTCTTGCTGACTAAGATTCTCTGTAGTTAATTTTTGGCATTTTAATTATGATGTGTCTGGGCATGGCCTGTTTAGGTTCTAATAGCTTGGGACTCTTTTTCTGCCTCCCAACATGTAACTTGTGTGCATTTTCCTTTACCAGGTTAGAAAGTTTTCTGCCATTATTTCTTCAAACACCTTCTATGTCCCTTTCTCACTTTCTTCCCCTTCTTGCTCACTTATTATGCAAATATTGTTATGTTTCATGTTGTCCCACAGCTCCCTTAAACTAGCCTCCTGGTTTTTTGTTTTGTTTTGTTTTATAATATATATATATATTTTATTGATTTTGTACAGAGAGGAAGGGAGAGAGTTAGAAACATCGATGAGAGAGTCACTGATCAGCTGCCTCTTGCACACCCCTTACTGGGGATATGCCCGCAACCAAGGTACGTGCCCTTGACCGGAATCGAACCCGGGTCCCTTCAGACCCCAAGCCGATGCTCTATCCATTGAGCCAAACCGGTCTCGGCTGTTTTTTTTCTCTTTCAGTTTTCTGATTGTGTTATTTTTTCTACCCTACCTTCTAATTCACTGATCTTCCCCAATCTGCCGTGTATTCCTTCCATTTCCATTGTGTTCTTTATTAGTGCTATGTCATTCTTCATAGTTACTATATCTTTTCTTATGATCTTGAGAATCATTGCCATCATTAGTATAAACTCTCTGATAAATTTCTTATTTCCATTTCATTTAGCTCTTCTTCTGGACAATTCTCTTGTTCATTTGGGGGTGGTGTTCTGTCTCCCCATTTTGGCTGCCTATTTGGGTTTGTGACTATGTATTAGCTATATCTGCTAACTCCTAATCTCTAGTGTAGGACAGTATCAAACGCTATTTCTCTCTCATTAGCTCAGGCAAAGACTTAAAGCCTCCAGAGACCAGCCTCTGCCTGCAGACCTATTGGGTTCATTCTGAATAGCCTCAAGCTATCATCCACAGGTTGGGGAGAGGTTTTCCAACTGGGTGAGGTAATTGCTTCTGCCTGGAGTCTAATTGTTATTCTCAGTGTCTTAATGGGCCTCAGAAACTACAGAGGATGTGGCAAGGGATTTCCCAATGGGGTGGTCTTCCCCAACACTCCAGGCAAAAAAATCACCTGGATAGCAAAGAAAGATGTCCTCCACAGCATGAGGGAACAACTCAGCACAGGAAACCAGGGGGTCCACTCTGAACTCCCTCTGTAGAAGCCCAGTATGAGTGGCTGTACACAAAATTTTGTGTTTTGGACCTTTAAGAGGGTGCCTGCATTTCTAGCTCTCTCTCCCTGGCATATTGTAACGCTGCTGCTTTTCTTTCTTTTTTTTTTTCTGAACAAGTTTTTATTATGCAATCGGGGTGGGGTTCAGTCCTTCTTGGCTGTTGCCTTCCTCATGGCTGCAAGGACATTGCTCAGCTCCCCTCTCTTCCTCTTGGTGTGAATGTGTGTCCCCACCCTTTTCTTGATGAACTTCAGGGCCCTCTCGTCCTTAGAGACCTTGAGCAGCTCCATGGCACACGCTCGTCGGGGCAAGCTGCACACTCTCAGATCATGTCCGTGAGAACTTGGTGTGCTTGGTGAGGCGCCGCGGCGGCCGCTGTGCCTCGGCTTGCTCACGCTCTTGGTCACCTTGTGGCCCTTGTTGAGGCCCATGGCCATGGGGTAGCGCAGAGCCATGGCTGCCGCTGCGGAAGCAACGCTGCTGCTTTTCACAGACAGTTAGGCGGGCACCTTTCTCGGTCCTGGTGCTCTCTGCTGGGGCCCAGCTTTGGGTTTAGATCCCAGAGCTCTCAGCAACCCCTAGAGCTGAGATGTGCCTCCAGACCTTCCATTGCTTTCTGTGAAAACTCTTTCAACCAGTCTTGTATCTACCTAGTCTCCAGTTAGCCTATACACTGTTGTCATATTTTTGCTATCACTAACATGTAGCAATATATCCTGGAATACACATCTACTTCTAAACCTATAATTGGGTCTGAGGGCATCTATTCAGGAATAAATTTTGGGGTCATGAGGTATATTCACTTTTACCTATGTTAGATGTGGCCAAATTGCTCTCCAAAGTGACTGTACTAATTTGTACCCCATTAGTGTTTGAGAGTTACAGCTATTCCACATTTCTGCTAACAGTTGGTTTGCTACAAACTCATCATTTTCATACTGTTAAAAGAGGCCCTCTCAATATTTACGTCTATCCAGATTTTAAATGCACCCACTTTTTAGACAGTAATTCTAGTTGTAGAAATATATACAAAACACATCGAATTTATCATACCCAGTACTAACCTTGGAATGAGAGCCTTGGACTCCTCAGCAGTCTCTGGACAAAGGTTGGCCAAACAGGCCAACTCAAACTTATGAAGCTTCTTCTGGAGCAACAAGCTGATCATAAGGAAGAAAATCATAACCAAACATAATCAAAAAGTGATGAATAAGAAATGGGGGGAGGGGGTTTCAAATGAAACAAGAAATAGGAAAATAAAGCACTTGCAATCTTTCTGTAATGGTTAGGGCGGTTGCAAAATCCTACTTTTAATTTACTTTGTGGTCCTATTCCTGGGGAACAGGAAGTTACAACAAAATGAAGGAAACAAAGTTATGAAATCACATGCAGTCAGAGAAGCCCTGCTATTGCAACTGATGAAAAACCACAATATGCCTCAAGGAGTATGCAATGTTTCCCCAGGAATTTATTTTGCTGCTCTCTGCTCTTCTTACTACTCTGCCTTGCTTCCATTAATTTTGTCAAACACATATTAGATGCTCCCAACCGGTTAGGTGTTTGACCTGGAGAAAATTCTTTTAAATTTATAAAAATAAATAAATATATACATACATATCTTACTTTGTACAAAAATATATGTAAACTGCATCTTATTTTAAATGCCAAACTATATAAAACAACAGCCAATGCCATGACTTCTCTGCTCGGTGGTTCAAGTGTTGGTCTGTGCACCAAAATGTCAAAGATTCAATCACAGGTCAAGGGTACATACCTGGGTTGCAGGATCGATCCCCAGCCCAGGTCAGGCAACCAACCTATGTCTCTCTCATATCAATGTTTCTTTCTCTGTAAAAACTACTAAAAAAATCTTTAAAATTTTTAAAAATGTATTTTTATTGCTTTCAAAGAGGAAGGGAGAGGGAGAAAGATGGAAACATCAATGATAAGAAATAATCATTGATCAGCTGCCTCCTGCACACTCCACATCATGGATTGGGCCCACAAACCAGGCAATGTGCCCTGACTGGGAATTGAACTGTTACTCTTGGTTCATAAACTGACATTCAACCAAAGGGCCATGCTGGCTGGGCCCAATAAAAAATATTTTAAAAGAATAAATGGCCCTGGCTAGCTTGACTCAGTGGATAGAGCATAGGCCTGAGGACTGAAGGGTCCCAAGTTCGATTCCAATCAAGGACACATGCCTGGGTTGTGAGCTCAATTCCCAGTAGGGGGTGTGCAGAAGGCAGCCAATCAATGATTCTCTCTCTTCATTGATGTTTCTCTCTCTCCATCTCCCTTCCTCTCTGAAACCAATAAAAATATATTAAATAAATAAATAAAAATAAAATAGAGCTCATCAATGGTAAATGTGGTTTCAAAGAAAACTTTATCTGTTCAGAAACAAAACACTGTTTATCACTCTATTACAAGCATATTAATGTACAAAATTTAGAAAATACAGAAAGGCAAAAAAAAAGTGTGACCTACCTAGCTATTTTACCACATAAACAAATATCAACATATCATATTAGTATAGCATTCTAGACATTTTTCTATGTTTCAGAATATAAACTTACACATTCTGTTAGTAACTTCCTGTCACTTGAAGCTATTTTCATTTTGTAAAGAAAATGCAGTAAATTTAAATTTTACTTAAGTTTATGAAGAGGGTCATGTTTTAAAAATGAGCACATACTCATTTACAAACAATCCCAAAAAAGTATCAATAGCCCTGACCAATCTGCTACCGTGTTTCCCCGAAAATAAGACATCCTACAAATATAAGACCTAGCGCATGGAAAGATAAGACATCCCCTGAAAATAAGACCTATTGCAACTTTGGGAGAAAAAATTAATATAAGACACTGTCTTACTTTCGGGGAAACAGGATAGCACTTAGAGCATTGCCCTGTGGACCAAAGGGTCTTGGGATCAATTCCTGATCAAGGGTACGCACCTTGATTACAGGCTCAATTCCCAACCCCTGTCAGTGTGTGTGGGACGCAACCAACTGATGTGTCCCTAACACATAGACGTTTTTCTTTCTCTCCCTCCCCCATCCCATCCACTATCTCTAAAACATACTAAAGAATTTACCCTCAGTCTTTGGGTGAGGATTTAATTAATTAATTTATTTATTTATTTATTTATTTATTGCTTTTTTATTTTTTATTTCTTTCTAGGGTGAGGATTTAAAAAAAAAAAATAGTATTGCTCTGGCTGGTTTGGCTCAGTGGAGTCAGCCTATGGACTGAAGGGTGCTGGGTTTGATTCCAGTCAAGGGCACATGGCCAGATTGTGGACTCCATTCTCAGTAGGGGACATTTAGGAAGCAGCTAATCAATGATTATCTCTTATCATTGATGTTTCTATCTCTCTCTCCCTTTTCTATCTCTCTCTCCCTCTCCCTTTTTCTCTGAAATCAATAAAAATATATATATTTTAAAAGGTTCAGTAATGAAAAGTAATGTAAAATTCTTCCCAGAAATAACCAGTATTAATGTTTTCATAGCTCGGCCAGCATGTCTCAGTGGTTGAGCATTGACCTATGAACCAGGAGGTCACGGGTTTCATTCCCTATCAGAGTACCTGCTTGGGTTTGGGGATCAATCCCCAGTAGGGAGCATGGATGACACAGCTGATCAATGATTCCTCTCATCAATGTTTCTATCTTTATCGCCCTCTCTCCTCCACTTTGAAATCAATACAAATATATTTTTTTAAGCTATAAAAAGGAATCCTAACATGTTATTCTAAAATTGGCCCTTTTTCTTTTTTCTTTTCTTAAGCCTCACTAGAGAGTATTTTTTCCATTGCTAGAGACTGGAAGGGAGGAATGGAGGAGGGTAGGAAGGTGTTGAGAGAGAAACATCAACGTGAGAGAGACACATTGACTCGTTTCCTTTGACAGGTATCCCTTAAGAGGCTTGGGTAGTGAACCTGAAACCCAGGCATATGCCCTGACCAGGAATTGAACCCCTCCCTTCTGGTTTATAGGTTGACACTCAACAACTGAACCACAACAGCCAAGCACAACTGGCCATTTTTCACTCAACAACATAGTAATTGTTTTCCATGTTAGTACACACATGACTACACATTCCACTGAAACGCTGTGCTATAACTTATCATCAAATTTCCTCTTGTTGAACGTTTCATTTGTTTCCAATGCTTTTTGAAAATCATTGTAAATGAATACTTGTTTGTGTAGTTGATTGCTGTGTGTTTTAAAAATAAATTCCTGGAAGTAGGATTATTCAAAGGTAAGACTGTTAATGGGGGGGGAAATGGGAATGGAATAGACAAATGTGTTCCAAGCCTCGTCCCAGAGCAGATAGAAAGAACAGCTATGGGTCGCATGGGGAGTGTCTGTTGGTGAGCTGAGGGACAGCTATACTCCAGGAGGAGGTGGGGACTGCTGCTGGGTTCCCTCCCGGAGCCACCAGCTCGACAAGGAGCCTTGAAGGGAAAAGTGGATGCTATTGGAAGCCCCCCGAACAGCTGTGACCCCCAGAGCATCTATCCCCTACTGGCCCAAATATTCAAGGAGCTTTTCACTCCACCACCAAGGAAAGGAGAGAGAGAACTACATAACCAGACACCCGGAGAAGGAGACCATGGGAGTCAAAGAAACAGCCCACATGTAAAAGAAAAGCAGGCATCACCAGAAAAGGAAGTAAACAAAATGGAGGCAAGCAACCTGTCAGAGAAAGAATTCAGAGAAATGGTCACAATGTGGCTCAAAGGTAAGACTGTCTGGAAGGCTTCTGAGAGACTGCCTTCTAGGGCTTCACCAATATACGCTCCCATCAACAATAAATGGCAGCGCCCATTTCTCCTACCGGTCAAACGGGTCAAACGAGGTTTCCCCTTCTTTTTAATCTTTTCTAAGTCTACTTAAATATTTCACCATTGCTTTGATTTCCTTGAATATGATCATTATTTCATGAGAACTAGACAGTCTTAAATTTAAAGTTGTGATATAAATCAACCCATTTTTATAAACTGGGTATCATCTAAGGATATCAATCCTTCTCCAGTTTACTCACACTTACATTTTACACACTGTATTTTATTTGATATAAGAAAGTTTAAGGGGGGAAGAAAAGAGGAACCTTTGTAATAATATGAACAATAAAGATTGATTTAAAAAAAAAAGTTTAAATACATTTATGCAATGTATTTAAACTTTCTTATATCAAATAAAATACAATGTGTAAAATGTAAGTGTGAGTAATTTCAATTCCCTTTCAATTCCCTCGACGATTTTTTTATTTTTATTTTTTTAAATAAATATTTTATTGATTTTTTACAGAGAGGAAGAGAGAGGGATAGAGAGTTAGAAACATCGATGAGAGCCAAAACCGGTTTGGCTCAGTGGATAGAGCATCAGTCTGCAGACTGAAAGGTCCTGGGTTCGATTCTGATCAAGGGCATATACATTGGTTGCATGTACACCCCCGGTAGGGAGTGTGGAGGAGGCAACTGGTTGATGATTCTCTCTCATCGATGTTTCTGGCTCTCTATCCCTCTCCCTTTCTCTCTGTAAAAATTCAATAAAATATATTAAAAAAAAAAAAGAAATATCAATGAAAGAGTCATTGATGTGCCTGCAACCAAGGTACATGCCCTTGACTGGAATCGAATCCGGGACTTTTCAGTCTGCAGGCCAACACTCTATCCACTGAGCCAAACCGGTTTTGGCTTCTCAACGATTTAGAATAGCAAATGTATACATTAATTTGGGGCAAATTGACATTTTTACAATATAAAGACTTTTCACTCATGAATGTGTTTAAATCCACCTTCATTTGTTCAAGTCATCTTTTAGGCCTACCAGTTTATGGTTTTACATGAAAGGTCTGCACAGTTCCTTCTAATCTTTTCTCCATGCATACATCCACACTTATCAGAATAGACTATATTCCACATACAGTTTTATCACCTTCATTTTCTGTACACTTAACATATGTAACCATCTTTCTATTTCTTTTTCTATCATAGGTTTTAATGACAGCATAGTAGCCATCAAACAGATTTATCACAACGTAATTAATTACTGTCAGGGATGGGGCTGGTAGGCAAATCGCCCACAGCTCCTCTTCCCCAGCCAGCCCTGCCCAAGGCCCCTCACCCCAGCCAGCCCACCCCAATGGCCTCCACTGGGGCAGACCAGCTGGAACCCACCAGTGCACAAATTCGTGCACCAGGCCTCTAGTTCATATATATTTTTTAGTCCAAATATGCTGATATCCATGCAAATCTTTTAAATCACCTTCTATCAAGTAAAACTGATACTTCCAACCCTAGTTGATTTGGCTCAGTAGATAGAGCGTCAGCCTATCTGAAGGGTCTTGGGTTTGATTCTGGGTCAAGGGCAAACACTTTGGTTGTAGGTTCCATCCCAACCCTAGTCAGGACACATGCAGGAGGCAACCAATCGATGAGTTTCTCTCACATCTATGTTTCTCTCTCTGTCCCCTCCCTTCTACTTTCTCTAAAAATCAATTTAAAAAATCTCCTCAGGTGAGGATTAGCAAAAACAAACAACAAAAAATTAACCCTTTGAGAAGATGTGCTATTCTTCCTGTGGCCTTCAACACCCCAAGCACATCACTGTTTCTCACATCCAACCCAATGTGTGAAGCAAACATGGATGTTTCTCTTTGTCTTTCCCTCTCTCTTAAACATCAATGGAAAAATAACCTCAGGTGAGGAATCACAAAAAACAAAACAAAACAAAAAAAAAACACCACAAAACACACAGACACACACAAAATGCTGTTAAAAAAAAATTTTTTTTTAAATTGATTTCAGAGAGGAAAGAGAGATAGAAATATCAATGATGAGAATCTGATTGGCTGCCTCCTGCAAACCTCCTACTGGGGGGATTGAGTCCCCAACCAGGCATGTGCCCTTGGCCATAATCAAATCTAGGACCCTTTAGTCTGCAGGCCAACGCTTTGTCCATTGAGCCAAATCCGGTAGGGCCAAAATGCTGGTTTTTTTTACAACATATATCAATATATGAACGTATGAAAAAAAATATCTGAAGGGGTAACAACAAACTGCAAATAGTTACTTTGCAAGGGGGTAACTGGAATTTGGGATATGTGAGAAGATGGCCCAAGAGAAATTTGGCCTTATAAGCAATTTTTAATTTTTGACAAATTATTTTACATACATTCATCCTAGAGATGATGAGGGGTAATAGCCTACCCCTGTAGATGCCCAATAGTCTAGATTAACAAAAACTTTCTTTTAGCCCAGCAGGCATGATCCTCAGTGTGTGGTGTGCATGGCGCAGCCAATCAACTATTCTCTCTCATCACTGATTTTTCTCTCTCTCCCTCTTCCTCTCTGAAACCGGTAAAAATATTTTATTTAAAAAAACGTCCTTTAGCACTCACCTTCGGACACTGGCAATGGTCTCTCTGTTTTTGAAACGACTGAAACGAGCTGTGTAGTTTAACGTTTTCATGAAGACCTCAGAAAGTTCCTGTTCGTCCTCCGCACTCTCGTTCTGCTGCTTTCGATGCTCCAGGAGCATGTGGACTTCTGAATTTAGAAGTGTCTCAGCTGTCTCAAACTCTATTTGTGAGAAGCATAAACGTTAGCGGAAAATATTCCTTCAAAGGTGAGCTTCTAAATGTTGATTTTTTCCTTTGAGACTTATAGCAATCTATTACATTGTTAATATATTGTATTGGGTTATTAGTTTCAGGTGTACAATACAGTGGTTGGACATTTCTATACCTTACAATGTGCCCATCCATTCCATTAATTCTAGTGATCATCTGCCACTGTGCAAACCTATCACAATATTAGTCCTCTCCCCCTCTCCACACAGCCGAAAACCCCCCCTCAGTCTGTCTCTATCAGTCTTTTTGTTCATTTGTGTTATCTGGGTCCCACATATAAGTGAAACTGCACAACAGCTTTTTCTCTTACTTATTTTCCTTTAGCATAATACTCTCTAGGTCACTGGTTCTCAACCTTTCTAATGCTGCGACCCTTTAATACAGTTCCTCATGGTGCGGTGACCCCCAACAATAAAATTATTTTCGTTGCTACTTCATAACCGTAATTTTGCTACGTTACTGAATCATAATGTAAATATCTGTATTTTCCGATGGTCTTAGGCTCTACAGCAGCAATTCTCAACCTGTGGGTCACGACACCTAGGTTGCTTCTGTACCTTGCCTATCATAAAAAATGCTGCAGTGAACAGAGGTGTATATATATTTTTGAATTCATGTTTTGCTTTATTTACGTAAATACCCAGAATTAGAATTGCTAGACCTATTTTAGTTTTCTAAGGAACCTCTACACTGTTCTCCACAGTGGCTACACCAGTCTGCATTCCACCAACAGCGCATGAGGGTTCCTTTTTCTCTCCCATTTTTGCCACGACTTGTTCTTTTTTGATTTGCTAATAGCCATTCTGACAAGTGTGAAGTGATATCTCGTTGTGGTTTTAATTTACATTTCTCTGATGATTAGTGATGTTGAGCATCTTTTAATACTCGTAGGCCATTTGTATGTCTCCTTTGGAGAAAAGTTTTTCTGCCCATTTTTTCTAGTATATGTGCTGCAGAGGTGCATACTGTATGGCCATTTTACGATAGCATTATCTTTTATTGAGCTATGTGGGTTCTTTATATATTTTTGCCATTAACCCTTTGTCTGATACATCATTTGCAAATATACTCTCATTTTAAGAATTATTGTTAGGCCCAGGTAGCATGGCTCAATGCTTGAGCATCGACCAATGAACCAGGTGGTTACATTTTTGATTCCCAGTCAGGGCACATCCCGAGGCTGCAGGCTCAATTTCCAGTACGGAGCATGAAAGAGGCAGCCAGCTGATGATTCTCTCTCATCATTGAGATGCTTCCCTCTCTCCCCCTTCCTCTCTGAAATCAATAAAACAAAATAATGCCCCCTTTCCCTGCCGCAGTGGAGTTGCTCGGAGGAGGACGCTTGCATGTGTTCAAGATTCGGCTCCACCCATAACCCACTGCCATGGCCGAGGAAGGCATTGCCGCTGGAGGGGTAATGGACCTGAACGCTGCTTTGCAAGAGGCGCTGCAGACCACCTGCATGCCCACGGCCTGCGCGGGTTCGTGACGCTGCCAAAGCCTTAGATGAGCACCAAGCCACCTTTGCGCACTCGCATCCGACTGTGATGAGCCCATGTGCGTCAAGTTGGTGAGGCTCTTTGTGCTGACCACCAAATCAACCCATAAAGGCTGACGACAACAAGAAACTAGGGCAATGGGTAGGCCTCTGTAAAACCGACAGAGAGGGAAAACCCCGTAAAGTGGTTGGCTGCAGTTGCGTGGTGGTTAAGGACTATGGCAGAGTCTCAGGCAAAGGATGTCATTGAGGAGTACTTCAAATGCAAGAAATGAACAAATAAACTTGGTTTTTGTTTATAAACACACACACACACACTCTAGAGGCCCGGTGCACAGCCTTCACCCTCTTCAATCTGGGGTCTCTCAAGCGATGTCTGACCCCGGTGGGATTGGGCCTAACCGGGCATCGGATATCCCTCACAATCCAGGACTGCTGGCTCCCAAATGCTCTCCTGCCTGCCTTCCTGATTGCCCCCTAACCACTCCCCTGACAGCCTAATTGATGTCTAACTGCTTCCCTGCCAGTCTGTTTGCCAACTTCCTTCCTCTGCTGGCCTGGTCACCCCTAACTGCCCTTCCCTGCAGGTTTGATCATCCCCAGCTGTCCTCCCTTGCAAGCCTGGTCCCTCCCAACTTCCCTCCCCTGCTGGCCATCTTGTGTTCACATGAGGACAGGATACTTGACCACATGGGGGCAGCCACCTTGTGTGTTGGAGTGATGGTCAATCTGCATATTACTCTTTGGTGCATGGGTGGGGGCCAGCTGGTTTGCCCTGAAGGGTGTCCCGGATCAGGGTGGGGGTTCTCTTGGCGCGTGGGGTGGCCTGGGCGTGGTGGTTTGCAGGCCGGCCACAGGCCCCTGTGACTCAAGGGACCAAAGAGAGGCCCTGGCATCTGGGATTTATTTATCTTCTACAATTGAAACTTTGTAGCCTTAAGTGGAGGCCTGCGCCTGCCAGGGTGTACAGAAAGCTGCCGGGGAAATCCAAGCCTCCCTCCTGTTCTCCCCGTGACCACAGCCATCTTGGTTGGGTTAATTTGCACACTCACTCCTGATTGGCTGGTGGGTGTAGCAGAGTGGTGGTTAATTTACATATTACTCTTTCATTAGATTGTGTATGTGTATAAAGAAATATTATGTTAGAGAGGGCCCAATCTTTGGAAGCAAACATTAATGAAACATTCCAAATTACATTTTTGTTTGCAAGAGACCACACTGAACCAACTGAGTCATACCTGCCAGGGCAATTGATGATTTTAAGGCTTTTGTATATAATAGGATTTGACTTGCAGATAAAAACATCCATTCCCTCTATATTTCATAGTCAAAGTACTCTATCAGGTGAACCTAATTTATTTAACTTTTTAAATTGATTTCGGAGCCGAAACCAGTTTGGCTCAGTGGATAGAGAGTTGGCCTGCAGACTAAAAGGTCCCAGGTTCGAATCCAGTCAGGGGCATGTACCTTGGTTGTGGACACATCCCCAATTGGGGATGGGCAGTAGGCAGCTGATCAGTGATTGTCATCAATGTTTCTAACTCTCTATCCCTCTCTTCCTCTCTGTAAAAAATCAATAAAACATATTTAAGAAAATAAAATAAAATAAAATAGATTGATTTCAGAGAGATAGAAACATCAATGATGAGAGAGAATCACTGATTGTCTGCCTTTTACACACCCCCTACTGGGGATCAGGCCTGAAACTTGGCATGTGCCCTTGACAGGAATCAAACCTTGGACCCTTTACTCCGCAGGCCGACACTCTATCCAGGCGTCTTCAAACTACGGCCCGCGGGCCACATGCGGCCCGCAGAGGAGTCTGATCCGGCCCGCCAGGTTTTTTGGGCAGTGAGCGCAGCCGAGGTGTTACAGTAGGAATTAGTAGTTCATATAGTCCGGCCCTCCAGCTCTCTGAGGGACCGTGATCTGGCCCCCACTTTAAAAAGTTTGAGGACCCCTGCTATCCATTGAGCCAAACCAGCTAGGGCAACTAAATCTAATTTAAATATTAGCATGGCACTCATCCTATATAATAAAAGGGTAATGTGCAAATCGGCCAAACGACACGTCACTATGATGCTGACTGACAACCAGGCGGGCAGTTGCTCAACACGGGAGCGGCCCCTGGTGGTCAGAGCGCTCCCACAGGGGAGCGCCGCTCAGCCAGAAGCCGGGCTCACGGCTGGCGAGCGCAGTGGTGGTGGCAGGAGCCTCTCCCACGTCTGCGGCAGCGCTAAGGACCCCAAGGGGCCACGGACTGCAAGAGGGTGCAGGCCGGGCTGGGGGAGCCCCTGCCCCAGTGCACGAATGCCATGCACCAGGCCTCTAGTATAAAACAATTCTCTTGATCAATGATAATGCTATATAATAAAAGCCTAGCATGCTGTGTCTGGTCGTCCAATCAATCAAAGCCTAACATGCTAATGATGATATGCTAAGGCTGCTCACTCACTCACTATGACATGCAGTGACCACCAGGGGGCAGTCGACAGGTTGACTAGTGGCTATGATGTGCACTGATCACCAGGGGTAGATGCTCAGACTGCTAGGTGATAGCTTGTTGCTGGGGTCTGGCCGATCCGGACTAAGCGAGACAGGCCAGACACACCCTGGAGCCCTCCTGCAGTCCCTCCCCAGCTGGCCAACTTAACGTGTCCCTCCCGACTGTGCACCAGTGGGATCTCTCGGCCTGGCCTGCACCCTCTTGCAATCTGGGACCCGCAGGGCATGCCAAAGAGCCAGTTTTGGCCGGATCCCGCAGACCAGTCTAAGGGACCCCACTGATGCATGGATTCATGCACCTGGCCTCTAGTACCTATATAAGCAATCTTTAAAAATTGTTTTAAAAAAAGGAAAAAAAACCACACATACTTTTGGTTCTTTTTCATGAAATATGGCAACCTTTTCCTATATTTTCAGGATGACATTGTTAAAATGCTATTATTCCTTGGGAAAATCATTATCTTCCTCACATTCCCAAAGAAGCATATTTTCCTAATACTTATTATAAAATATTAGAGCTGGTTTTTAACTGCCTTTCCCTTATCTGTGAGTTCCCCCAGAGTAGAAATCATCCATAAACATGATTCATGTTTATAATGCCACAATGATGAAGAGGAAACAATAATGAGAAAACTCCAGTTACTTGCAATTTGGCATTTATGTGTGATATGAATATGTCCACTATTGGGGAAATCACAAACACCTCCATTGGATTATTGCCTTCCATTCTCAGGCCAGGTGATAAGAGCTTCACTCTTTTCACAACTGTCTGGGGAGAGGATGTCAAAAGGAAACTTTATGTGAAAGTTCTCATAGCTACTAAATATAATGGCCACCCCTAACCTATTTTCAGAGGGCAGCATAGTTTGAAAAAGAGGACCATCAAGAGTTAATTCTAGCCCTAGCTAGTTTGGCTCAGTGGACAGAGCATCAGCCTGTGGACTGAA